ATGAAGGAATGCTCACAAGCCTGGCACCTGTAAGCCATGACTGTGTGTGTGTGTGTGTGTGTGTGTGTGTGTGTGTGTGTGTTTGTGTGTGTGTGTGTGTGTGTGTGTATGTGTGTATGCATGGTTTCTATCAGCTTACATCATATTCACCCACTGGACTCTCTAGAGTGGAGTTTATTTTTCCCATCCCATCACTTCATCATTTGCCTCCTTATCAATAAACAAACTAATTTTACAGAATTCTGTCTAGTGATAGAAACTTGGCTTGTGACACAATTATTATCTCAGAGGCTACCTAGGAGAGACAGGGGTCTAAATGTTATCACTTTAAAGAGACATGTCTGCTAGATCATAAATATCCAAACCACAGTCCACCTCATACGCATTTAACATGCTACACCTTTCTAAATCCTGGTATTCAGCTTCCTTATTAGCCGATTATACCTATATTACAGAGAGGGAAACAGAATGAGGACATGCCCTGCCCAAGGTCACACAAAGTTTAGTGTGAAAGCCAGGGTTGGAGCACAGGTTTTCTGAGCTCATGGCTGTTTTCATCTATGAAATGACGGAGTCTCTGGAACCATCATGGCCTCTGCTGTATTTACTGAGGATTAATTAGGAAGCAGTTCTAAGATAAAAGAAGGTGGCCCCTGTCTTTTCTTGTCCCAGTCTCTCCTGGCTTCTTCTCTAGCACTCAGGGGCTCCAGTCACCTAGCCTGTTCTCCTCCTTCCTCAAGGAGATCATAACTAAGTCTTGTTCCTGCACTGAAAGGTATAGGTGCATTTTATCAATCATTAAGCTAAAGCACTTCTAGACTCAGTGCTCACAAGTCAGAAGAAAGATAACTTTGTTATCTTCTTCATAGATGAAAAAAATTCTTCTCTTGGTGGCTAGACCCTGAGTCCTTCCAGAAGAGCTGACCCAAGTCTTCAGAAGCTGCCATGGCTGGTTTCTAGACACCCTAACCTGCTGGGGCAGTGGATTATTTTCTCAAAGGAGGAGGGGAGACTTCCTGGCACCCCTCAAATCACCCCGTGTAATCAAACCCCTCCAGGCAGGGCAAGCCCTGAGAAGCTGTGTGCAATGTCAACCCTTCCTCTCCAGTTCCACTCCCACTGGCCCAGCCTAACCATGGGACTGTCACCTGGCCCATCCGGAGTCTCACACCTGCCCTCTCATCTTCTAAGTACCGTGCATTACTGAACCTAGGATGCTAGGTTCTATTTCTAACAGCTCTAGGGAGCAGGTACCTGAGAACAGGTGTGTGCTTGTGACTCTGTCAGGGAGGTGAGGATATAGGTAAGACTCATTTTTTAAGGTGAGTCAAAACTTGAGAAACTCCAGCCCCACCCTAGAAGTAAACAACGGGGTGACTGGGAAACAGACTTTGGTATGGGAGGCTTTTTACAGAGTAGATGCCAGCCATCTTACCCACTATTCAGATGTATCTCCACTTTGACTCAGGGCTTCTGGAAAAAAAAAAGCTGTTGAGGCCCCACATAGAGGCAGTTGGAATACGTTCATTAAGCTATTTCCAAAAACAAGAGAAGAGAAAGCCAAAAGGTGTTCCCTAGCTGACCACACAGTACTCTTTCAAGAGGTGCGCTATGTTTGATAGAAGACAGTGGCCGATGGAGGAGGCATAGGTCTTGCATTTTAGCTGCCTTCCTAATAGTTGATATTTAAAACTGAGAAAATGACAGCTCATCTTTACAGTCACAGTCATGTCACACTTGCTTTATCTTAATTTCTGGTTGACACGTCACCAACAGTCATGACTTAGAACAGTTGAGTTTCAAGTTTCCAGTTTCTGCCTCCACTAATTAATCTGTCAACAAACCTACAGAGAATGCTACCTACAAGGAGAACTTCTCACCTTCTTGTAAATGTGAGAAATCATCCTACCCTCTAACTTACATGGTTGCAAGTCAGACACTTCAGTGCTGCTGTTAAGTACTCCGAGTGATGGTATGGAAAATAGCCGAGAGAGAGAGAGAGAGAGAGAGAGAGAGAGAGAGAGAGAGAGAGAGAGAGAGAGGAAGAGAGTGAGAGAGAGAGGAGTGAGGCAAAGACCTGTCATCTGTCCACCTCTCACATCCCATAAAGTATTTCTAGACGACCTGAGACAATATTAGCTGTCTAAAGCGGGGAGGAAAAGCAGGCCTTGGGCTTGGAGAGTGGTTGCTTCCAATAGACCGCTCATAGAAGGCCAGTGTGGGAGCCTAAACACTGTGGAGAGGGTGGGTGTCTGGGAAGACAACCAGCACCGGCCTGGTGGAGGCCCAGTGGAGCTGAGGCTCTTGTCTCTCTTTCTTGTGATGGAACTCCCTTGGGGTTAGAGACAGGGAGGCTTTCCTGTTACTCGAACCTCATTGACTATGATGTCTTGGCGTTCTATAACTTTCCTGAGACTCTGTGTTTCCATTTTTCAATATGAGTGCTGTAAATTTATCCCTGGGCCCTCCTTGAGTATTAGTGATCTCTGTATTTGATTAAGTAGAATTAATAGAGAATTCAAGGAATGGAGAATGAGTTCATGGTCAGAAAGAAAGCCTTAACTGATCTGTCTTCTGAGAGTGAGGGCTGTAGTTACAGGGTAGTATAATCTCTGGTTGAGTCTAAAATGTGAGTAGTGTGTGAGGATTTATGAGTGAGAGTTCTTGATGCGCTTGAAGAAAAGAGAGGAGCCTGAAGTACTTGGACACTCTGAACAAGCTGACACTGTCCTTATCCTGTGTAGGAGAAGAGCACTGTTTCCAGGATCTGCCTCACACCTTCCTGTCTGGACCCTTCAGACTGTGCCTGGCTTGTCCCCCTTTGTCAGAGATATTCACTTCCCAGGAACAGTTTTCCTTTGGCTTTCTCTTTTCTTTTCCTTTTCTTCTTTCTCCCCCCTCTTTCATCCCCTCCCCTTCCCTTCTCTCCTCTCCGTTCCCCTCCCCACTGCTGTTCTTTCCTTGTACTGGGTGTCAAACTCAGGGCATCCTAGGCAAATGCTTTACTACTGAATTATATCCCCAGCCCTTAGAAAATATTTTAAATACCACTTTTTCCACAACTATTTTCTCCTAATCTTTAGAAATGTTGTGTTTTCCTCTTTTGCTCAGAACTGTAAACTTTTTATCTAAACCTGTTCAGAATATTTTACATATACTATCCTCATGATAATATACTGTAAGTTATAAGATGTCTGTAAACTTAGCACTAAATCTAACTTCCTTGATGATAGGAGATATCTTGCCTTTATCATTCAATAGTTTTTAATCATCTAATCCCTTGCAATAGCTAGTCACATATATATGCACTTCATAAATATGACCAATCAGATGAATGTATGAATGAATGGGTAAATGGGTAAATGAACTGAAATAGAAACTCACCATCAAACAATCTGTCTTTAGCTTTTCCAAAATTATATTATTTTATTATTTTATGTGAATAGATATTTTGCCTGCATGTATGCTTACCTGGAGGTATGTGTGTGCAGCATGACCATGTGACCATGCCTGGTGCCCATGGAGGCTAGAAGACGGTGTCAGATCCCTTGGAACTAGAGTTACAGATGGTTGTAAGCCACTATGTAGGTGCTGGGAATAGAGCCTAGGTCCTATAGAAGATCAGACAGTGCTCTTAACCACCGAGCCATCTCTCTAGTCTCATTTTGGCTTTATTAGCAGAACCCATGATATTCTACTTCTTTCTGAACTAATTTAATATTCTCAAGTTGATGTTTAGTGCAGTCACACATACAAGGTCATTATAACTCACACATTTGAAAATCTGTGCAAAGACTATCTTTACTGTAAGAGTACTTGGATACCTTATACATGTGTAAGGGATTTTTATAACCAGCCAAAGTGCAAGAACCCTTATGAGCAAGAAAAGATGTTAAGGACAGAACTCACGCTTCAATCACTGGTGACTGGCCAGATGGTAGACTATCTAGTAGTTGAACAGCCCAGCAACTAAAAAGATGCTGCCCAGTGAATGAGTCAGTGGGTGAGTGAAATGAGGCAGGACTGAATATCTGAGTGCATACGCAAGAAATGAGCTCACAAACTAGTTGCCTAACTAGCCAGTTCACTGATCAACGAACTAGCAGGCTCATGGAGTTGTTGAAAACTGGTCTGATGACTGGCTGGCTGGTGTTTAGCTCTGTAGAGTAGATGCTGACATGGTTCTAAGAGAGGAAGCTCCACTGGGGACAGGTGAGTAAGAGCACAGAAAAAAAAAAAAAAAAGAAGTCCATTTTATAGGAACCCCTAAGAAGTGTATCATATTAATTGGACAATGGTTTTCTGATCTTTGTCCGCCTCCCCCCCCCACACATTGGGGATTATCCTGTGATTTACATTAATGATATCAAAAAGTTATCCAGTGACACTTATATCATAAAGGTAACTTTATCCAGGCACCATGTGATAGGAATGGGGGCCACTAGAATGTATGTTGAAGTGAGGAGAGTATCTTGGCTCAACTCTAAACACCGCACGGGCAAGTGCCCTGATAGAATCTGTACTGAAGGAGCAGGCAGGAGTCTGTGGACAGAAAGGCAATAAAAATAAGCGTGAGTATCGGGGGCATTGTTGCTAAACCAATCTAGCAGGATTCCTGCTGAAGATAAGCTTTGGCAGTAAGAGTAAACCCGGGGGATGGTGGACGATAAGGAAAACAAACTAATGTCAAGGGTAATCAGATACCAGGGGGTTGGGGGGGGATTAAAGGTACAAAATAGGAAATAATATTTTAATAATAATATCACTAGGACTGGCAAGTTGGCTCAGCAGATAGAGATACTCGAGGCATGACTCTGGTCACCAAGACCCCCATGATGGAAAGGAGAGAACTGACTCCTGGAGGTTGTCCTCTGACTTTCCCACGATGATCCTGAACTCACCTACACATCATATACACAAAGTAATGATAAATGAATAAATAAAAATTTAAAAGAAAACTTAATAAATGACTATATCACATGATCTGGACAATGATTTCTTACTCTTGTTTATTTTAACTATTTATTATAAAATGTTTTAATTATTTTTAGGTTGTTAGATATTTATTTCATGATAAATTGATTTAGTAAGGTTCTTTGCTAAAACTGGACTTTTCAAGGAAACACACAGATGGGTCCAGAAGTGACAAGACCCTGCTTAAGATGCAGTCCACTGAGCTCTTGGATGTAATGTCAGCTAAGATACAGCCAGGGACAGCCATGGGGACGGAAGCTCCCTTTCTGGAAGACCATTGTAGAAAGAGGTTGCATGTATCTGCAGCACTGCCCACAGGGAGCCTGAGCACTTCCTGGGCCTTGGAGATGGAGGCTGGGGCACAGGCTGTCTGGTAGGTCAGAGGGGCCTCAGTGATAGTGGCTGAGACAAGAAACCAAACCAAACATTTATTCACAGATACTGAGAGCTGGACTGGTCTATCTGGTTAGTGCCCTGCTTTCCCACCGTAGCTTAAGGAACTGGCTGCAGAAGGAAGAAAGCAGGACCATCTCTTGTTAGCTCCCTGAGAGGACCAAGACCCTTCATCCACATCCAGGGCTCCCAGGGCTCGAAGTAGCTGCCACCCTGAATTGTGATCACCTAAGCATTTGCTCAGCAGGTGTCAGGTGTCCAAACACCCCCTCTACATCCATCCCACATCTTCCCTCCTGGGCTGGGTGGGAAGAGGAGATACAGGACAACAGCTTGTGTGAATAGCAGCCAAACCACTTCATTCCCAAATCCTCAGGCCCTCCCCACCAGCCTCGGGGTGAGGCTCACAGTCCCCCCCCACCCCCCCCGAGACAGGGTTTCTCTGTGTAGCTTTGCGCCTTTTCTGGAACTCACTTGGTAGTCCAGGCTGGCCTCGAACTCACAATGATCTACCTGGCTCTGCCTCCCAAGTGCTAGGATTAAAGGCATGCTGAGGCTCACAGTTCTTGAGGCAATTTTAAAAGGGTGCCACACTTTGGCACCTCTGAAAAGGCTCTGGCATCCCTCTTCCCAGCCATTCCTCCCTTCTTTCTGTGGGACTTTTCTGCCACCCTAGCCACAAAGCACCATGAACAATATATAGTGAACAATATATAGTATGCTTTTATTTTTTTAAGTAATGTGCTGTCTTTCTCTTGCTGACAAGCCGATCTCTGCCTAGCTTGCCTACCCTACTATGTGCCTGACCAAGTCCTCTTTGGGCTTCAGTCACTGGCCCATTTCTTCCTTGGACATGTCACATGCTATATTTAGACAAGTGCCCAGCTCGATGCAGGAAACTCCTGTCCTACTGTTTTGTGTGCTGCTTTCTAATAGATTATCTGCCCTCCTTTTCCTCCAGCAACTCTGAGCTCCTCTAGACAAGGACATTCCCCACTTTGACCATAAGTAGTGTGGTACCTGGTTGCTGAGAGATGCACTCTGAGCAAGTGTTTTTTAAAAAGTATGTGGTCAGACCAGAGGGTCTACAAGCATGCCTTGTCTCATGTGTGGTTGTGATGGAGAGATTACCTCTCCATGATCTCTGCATGATACAGCAAGCCCCAGTGATTTAGGCACTCCCAACTTCTTCCTGGACCATTTTGTTCCTCTGTGTTGGGCCATAAAATGTAAATTTGGAGCTATGGCTCATGATGTTCTTTCCCTTCTGCTGTGAGGACTGGCCATGTTCCAGGTGGAGGAGATTCTATGTGTATGGATCCCGAAGCAGAATTCATGTGTGTCAAGGCTGTAGGTTGCCCTCTGCGGTTGAACAGGGCAAGTGAGAAATAAAATTGTGTTTAAGCTACTGGGAATTGTGCTTCAGTGGTTAATTGGAATGCAATTCAGCCTTATGAACTTACTGGGCTCTCTGAGAACTGTTTTCTTTGTCTCAAGAAGTTTCCCTCCTTAGTTCAACTTGACATTGATCCAATCAAGTCATACTAAAGCCCGATGTGGACATGAGAGCCAAGGCTGTGCATATGTGTGTTTGGCCATCCATGAGGAGGTGAGGCACACAGGAGAGGGGAAAGGAAGGTATGTGGGACAACCCACCTGAGCTAACACACTTCAGGACTGGGACCATCTGTTCGTGGGGAATTGACAATTTCCTCCAAAAGACTTTCTGTTTGTGGTTGGGATGCTAAATAATCCTCCTCTTTCCTCACTCTGACCACAGGCCTTGTACTGAAGTCCTTAAAGCCCTTTAGATGGTTAGGGCAGAGTGCCACCTCCTGGTGCATTGAGTCAGTACGCCTTCTCCTCATCTGTTCTTCAGGAAGCTGGGACTCATCCACAGGCAGGGAGACACTTAGCTGAGACCTTCCTGATTCCTCCAGCTCACTTCATTGGCAGAGAAAATTAGGGCCAGATAGCTCACAACTTGTCCCAGTCTCATTCCCCTGGCCTCTTAGGATGGCCACACTCACCCTAGGGGCAGGATCAGTGACTTCTCTGTTAAAGTCAGAGCCTTTCTAGGGTCCCCTTACTAATTGTAGGTGGCAGTGAGCTTGGCTGATAGAAAGGTTGAGCCAGCATGTGGTCATGGAATGGGAAAGACTGGTGTTCAAGAGAATCAGTGTGGATGGAGAACATTAGCCTACATGCTGCCATCTAGTGTTGTCATTGTGTACGTCTTGCTTAGGGGACTGTGTGTGATATTGGATTTCATGGGGGCAGCTTCCCTGTCATATATAAAAAGTACTATCTCACATCAGACATTTTGGTCCTTTGGTTCTTGCAATCTTTCCACGCCCCTCTTCCATGATTTTCCCTGAGCCTTCAGGAGAGGTGCTGTGCTGTAAATGTATCATTTGGTGCTGGGTGGTGTTGGCAAGAGATCTCTCTCCAAGGGGCAAGTGAATATTGAGTTGTGAGAAGTGAGTAAAAGCCAGGCATCTTGTTTCATGAACTGTCCAATTAGCCATCTGAGATGCTGTCTGGCTTAATTACCGGAGATTTCTCATGGAGACTGTTCAGCAACCGCTCTTACCCTTCTTCCCAAAGACTGCTGATTTTTAGCCCTAAGAAAGGCATCCCACCTTGGTTCAGTTTGGAGGTGGAAAGAGCTTGGAGTCAGCTCTGGGCTGAGTTGCACATGCTTTATGTAGGTACCTGCCGCAGCCCATCTTCACGTGGCACTGCTGGTTATGCTGTCTGGTTCTCTCTCTCAGGACTTCTCACTGCCACCTTTCCCATAATTTCAGGCCTCCAGTCTCCTGAAGAAGACAGAATGCTGGGAGGTGGTGGCACGTGCCTTTAATCCCAGCACTCGGGAGGCAGAGCCAGGCGGATCTCTAGGAGTTCAAGGCCAGTCTACTCTACAGAGCAAGATCCAGGACAGGTACCAAAACTACACAGAGAAACCCTGTCTTGAAAAACAAAAACAAAAAAAACAAAAAACCCAAGAAGACAGAGAACATTCTTCTATTAAGTACCCGAGGCTCCTTCAAGAGGTGTCTAAAGGAGCATCTTTAACAGAACAAAGCTGCTCTACTCTAGGCCTTACACTCTTGAGGCAGGATCTCTCACTCAACCTGGCATTTGCCTGGAATTCAGAAAGCCCAGCAGTACTCCAGCCTCCCCTCCCCTCCCCTCACAGAGTGCCCAGCACTGAAGTTACAGATGTGCACAGCCATCTTTTTACACAGATTTGGGAGATTTGAACTCAGGTCCTCATGCTTGTATAGCACACTCTCTTATCTGCTGAGCCAACTCAACTCCTCAACAGGAAAAAAGTTTTAAGGTTATGTTAGCGATACTTTTTGGACTATCCTTAAAGAGATTATACTGTGCACACACACATGAACACACACACACACACACACACACACACACACACACACACACACACACACAAACACACAGCATCTACATGCAGGTTGCCAAAGCAAAGGCCACTGCCCTAACACTGTCTCATTCCGATAGTGGAATACAGACATTCAATCAATCCCTGATGAAATGCAGTTGACTGTTACCTACCAGTCTTAGAAAACCATGACTCTCACCCTACTTCATGAGATGACATAGGTGAAGCTCTAACCCATGCACACTTTTTTTTTTACCATTTATATTTTATTCCTTCAGAGTCAGTATGAGCAAGAAAAGGGTCTCCTGGCTTATTCCATGTAGGCCACACCTGCATCTAAGCATTCCAGTAAACATCACCCAGATTTCTCCCTCTACTGGAGGAAGGGAGAAAACCTTGGGTAGGGCCTGTCCTGGACGCTTTTAGCCTAACCAACGGGTGAAGGGAATCAAAGGATGGGTGTTCATGAGTGGACGGACACACACACAAACACACACACACACACAGAGAGAGAGAGAGAGAGAGAGAGAGAGAGAGAGAGAGAGAGAGAGAGAGAGAGAGAGATAGAGAGAGAGATTAAACAAAGGTATTCTGGAATAATTTTAGTTATAAAAGTTATAGAAAGTTTCTGTATATCTTTTCTGAAATTTCTCTAATGCTGACATCTCTTCTTTCTTTTAAAATTAAAAAAAGATTAAGTTTAATGAGCAAAAGTTGCATATATACATAATGTGTATACATATATGACATGACATCTTGAAATATATATGTAGAAAAATATATAGATACACACATCGTGGAATGACTGCATTGCTTACCATATTATTTTTGTGATGAGATTATTTGAAGTCTACTCACCAAGCACACAATACACTGTTGCTGCAGTCTTCGGAACTCATCCCCCCTGAAACCCTTTAGCCTTTGACCAACGTTTCTGCTTTGAGGTTCTGACTTTTCAGATTGTACCCATGAGTAAGACCAAGATGTACTTGTCTTGCCATGGCAGGTCAGGCTTATCTGAATCTCAGCTCTTTAGCTACAATTGGATGGTGCTAGTCAAGTTTTTTTTTTTTTTCCTCCTTGAGTCTTATTTCCACCATTTTCAAAATTAAAATCTTAATCTTATCTGGCAATGATGACTACTGTGTAAGAGAAGAGTCTTAAGACCCAAGTCTTGTTATGGTAACGA